TGCTGCTGCTGCTGCTGCTGCTGCTGCTGCGGTTGAAACGACGGCGGTGGCGGAGGCTGCGGTGGTGGGTGCTGCTGCTGGTAGTACGACGTCGGAGGCGGGTAGTACGGCTGTTGCTGGTAATAGTCTGGCGAAGGCTGCTGCTGCTGCTGCTGCTGCTGCTGCTGTTGTTGCTCCCACCCGCCATACTCGCTATCATACGCGGACCCCCCGTAGGGCATAGCACTATACGCATGCGTCACATTGGCATGCCCGTACGGAGGCCGCCACGGCGGCTGTGGCGGACGAGGGGGAGCTGCATACCTGTGCTGATGCTGTCCTCCGTAGCCGCTGTGAGGTCCGTGCTGAGGCCCACCGCCCCAGCCCCCCCCACTGCTGTAGCTCGGCTGCTGCTGCGGCGGTCCATGAAGTTGCTGTTGCTGGGGATGCTGCTGTTGAGGCTGCTGTGGCTGATGCTGCTGTTGCTGAGGCTGCTGTTGCTCCTGTTTCTTCTGACGGTCGCGTTGAGTGCGGCACTGGGCGTTGGTGTGGGACAAGTGCGGATGTAGGTAGCAGTGGTCGCTGTCGACTTCTCTCTCTGCTGCTTTCTTGTTTCCTCTCCCTCTGCTCCTGCTCCGACTCCGGGCGCCTCCGTCTCCGTCCTGTCCCCCGCCGTTTCCACTCGACCCATTTTGGACACGTCCATCGCCCCGGATACCACCGGAAGCGACGAACGCGTGCCCCGCGCCATTCTTTGGTTCCTCCTCCCGACGGCGAAGCAATTCCGCATGGGCATCTCGTACACCCTTTTCGATTTTTTTGCGCGAGGGGGGAATCGGTGTCATAGTCAGAATCTTCTTCTCCATCATATACTCATCGGAAAGGTGGTAAACCATGTGGGCATTGGCATCTTCGTCGGAGAAAATAACACCGTGCGAGGCTAGCCTGCTGCGCAAAACAGCAAATCTCCCGAAGTATTCTTGGGGGGTCTCTCCTACTTTCATCTCAAGACCGTGATATTGGGATGACAACCTTTCCTTCTCGGCTGCGTAATAGTCGAGGAAGATTTTCCAACCTCCACTTGGACTACCATCAGCGATGATGGGTGAGGATAGGAATGTATGTTACAGACGTCATCAGCAGGTTCCACGCCGTAATTGCCTTCTCTACGCTATCAGGTGAGTGCATCCTACGCAAGTCCTCCATGTCTATTCCTTCGAGCCCGACTGGAATTCTGTGGTCACTCAATACCACTTCCCTGACTCCTTCTTGCGCAAACATAGCAATCATGTTTGATCGAAAAATCAAAATCTTGCCTGCTCATCTTCCACTTGCCTAAAAATCCCATCCCAAGGCGCTAGGCGCTTAACCTCTGTCAGGCGAATACTTCCTCCTGTACTTTGTACTCTACCGCTGTCCCGTGGTGATATCTGCATTCGGCTGGACATGGCGTCTGCGAGAGTGCGGGCGATGTCATCTACGGCCGGGTTCGCNTGATCGAAAAATCAAAATCTTGCCTGCTCATCTTCCACTTGCCTAAAAATCCCATCCCAAGGCGCTAGGCGCTTAACCTCTGTCAGGCGAATACTTCCTCCTGTACTGGGTACTCTACCGCTGTCCCGTGGTGATATCTGCAGGCGGCCGGTCAGGGCGTCGGCGAGAGTGCGGGCGATGTCATCTGCGGCCGGGTTCGCCGATGGCCGCCCCGCTTGTTGCTGGTGGCGTGCCTCGTGCTCGCTTCCGGTCCGGACGTTCTCTGTCCTCTGCTCCTCCTCGTCTTGTTGCCGCCTTATGTCGGCCAGTCGTTGTTGTACCCTCATCTCCACCAACTCGTTGATGCGGGCGTCCTCGTCTTCTGCGTGACGGGCGCCTCGTTCTTGGTCGGCGCTGGACATCGGTGACAGCTGCTGATCGCCGCAAAGCGATACTCCAAACTAAGCTCGACGCGAATCTCGTAGACGACGTGTCACACGCTAGCGTGATCGATAATTCGGGTGGCTCAGTTGTGTGCGATGGGAGTGTAGAGCAGCTCGGCCATGACGGGCCGCAGGGGTAGGTAAAGACGTGCAGACGTGTTGAAAAACGTGTTGTATTCATCGGGGGCGTGCTTGAGCTCGTCATTCCATCACGGCATCAAGTCACGCATAACGCTTAAACACCCGAAACGAATCTCCATGAATGTCCACCAATCTACCACACTCCCAAGGAAAACATAAAGAAACTTCTTGTTCCTCCGTAGTTCGTTACTGCAAATCCCGCATATGTATACGCAATATGCTACGAGTATATTGAATACCGTGTGCGTAACTTGGCGCTTTGGGGTCTTCTCTATTTTCGAGTAACTCCAATTATTCCGCTTTCGGGATACCCGATACACAGCGAGGGTGCTGCGACTGGCACGTATCACGCGCTCGCAGCAGAATCGAATCTCCGAGCTGGTCTGTCACCACTGTGAAGTTTCGCGATGCCGTTTTTTTTTTTTTTTTTCCTTCCGACAATTTCAGATGTACCTCAGAAAACTTTCACTTAATGCCTTATACTCTACACGAGTATTAAACCAATACGAAGTACAACAACATATCTAGGGCTTACTTCTACTGTCACTTACATCGTAAAAATATCTCCTCTTCAACTTGAAATAAAACCAATGACAATCCTCATGGCATCCTATATGCGTTCGTAAGCTTGCTAAAATACTACTGCGTTGATGTCCTCTTTTTTCTTTGTATTGTTTTGTCTCCCATTATTGGACTCTGTGATCTGCCTCTCTGGCCCCTATCCTCCACTTCTATCAGCTAGACGACCCAACCGGGGTCACACAGGAGGGGGGGGCTGGACCCCCTCCTGCGGTTCCTGCCTGAGATTTTTTATGGCGAGAAGGGTACAGCCATCCCTTCCCTCGAGACTTATTTTGAAGTCGATCAAATTGACTAACAACGAGCAGTGCAGCGCGTCGCTTCCAACGGAGACCCTGGCAGGTGTAATTAGCGAGATAAACCTTACTCGGTCGGGACTCGAAAACATGACCTGACACTTATCAGACTGCGAGGCTACCCACTAGACCACCGGGGCGACCGGTGTACTGGTGTATCCTCATGAATTACGGCAAGTAAAAATAGTCCATGGCGCAGCAGCACACCAAGATCTCAGAAGAGTTACACATGATGAGCAACTACTCACACCCAGGGATGGATCCGGGTGATGTGCGCTTCAACAGCAGTGCATCGTCTGCACGCCCATCCTCTCGCCAGATACTTTGGTAGAATAGGTATCTCCTGCACTTACACGTTCATTCTTGTTCGCTTATCGTGAACTCCATCTGGTCTTTGTAATCAAGTACTGACATTGATTGGCGAAACAATCATCAACGGACGCTTGAGGCAAATGATCTACCTTCATCGCACCATGCAAGCCCCGCAAACTCTCTGACTTACAATCTTCACGGTTGTTTCTTCGCTGCCGCCGTCACAATGAAACAAGCAATGTGTACGCATATAAACGAGCACATCATCACCGAGCGCGCGTGCAACCACCTAACGAATAAGCCAATTACCACGACAAAATACGCGCGCGTATCAAGAGAAGAAAACACACAAAGACAAGCAAGCACGCATTATTATCAATAAAACACAGGCATCCACAACCCAAGCATCGAAGCACAAAGAGGAGGAGACAACATAATTTGTTGAGAATGAAAGGATGATTGCGATGTGGCTACATTGTATGGAGGCCTCATTATTTCCGGGTGTTGCACTCTATTGACGGCTATCGATGAGGTAGCATCGTGCAGTGCAGCGCCAACGTTTCGTGGGGCCAACAACGCGGAAAAAAGTTATATGGAAACGGGATTAGTCTATTGACTGAACGGTTATGGTTAATTATGAATGTAGTGAATGTAGTGACGTCACACGACGTCAGCAAGGTAGTTGCATCTGCAGGTCCGGTGCTGAGGCCACACGCACGCACGCATAATGAATTGATCTGCCAGAAAATCGCACCGTTTTTGTCTGTCGCCTCGCTACACGTACGAACTGATGGCGGTGCTAGTGGCAAGAAAGTACTCTTGGACAACCAAATGAAGACAGACACCCATCACTCATCCATGGGATCGGTGGAGAACATCAGAACAGGGTCTACTCTAAGGAGGAGGGAAGAAGCATATGAGAACCGCACTACTAACTACAGTACTCCCCTTAATTCGCAACACCAAGAAGGACGCGCGGAATAAACGACTGGCATACAGCAGAAAGACAACTACTGTACCTTGATGTCCCCCTCCTCCCTGTATCCCCTGCCCGCAATAAACTACAGTACTTGCAAGCTTGCTCAAGTCTGCCACGCGGGTACTATTGAAAGGCCTGGCTGTCCCGAAGACATGGCGGTCTCTACGCAAGTCAACCGTCATCACTCGATCGGCACTCACATCAACAGCGAGTCCCTACAAAGTTCTGAACTAGAAGTGAAAGTACACGGATCCCCCAAAGTGTTGTCACACATTGTGTATGAATAGCATCTCACGAGTTATTCTGAAATAACCTCAGTCATCAAGTTGCGGCGAGAGACTTGCAGGGATTTTCCCAGCCCGGAACGAACGGTTTCCCGCACTATTCCCGCACAGAAACGCAATGCAAGTCCCGCAGTGTGACGGATGGATTGGCTGACACACTTTTGGCTCTTCCCCAATAGACTAAACTGCTTTTGAGAGATTCACTAGCATGTCTGGAAGCAGGAAAAAGGACGCGTGTGCATCAACATGTCGATGATGTCATCGAACGGTCCTTTTTGCGTGAGAACTGGAGAGAGAATGTGCTGCACGAAAAAAAGTGCACCATGCCGTGTACCGGACGGCTGGCAAAACGGCGTAAGGATGGTTAAACCGGACCTAGAGTCTGCCGACAAAAACGGGTAGCTGATGTAGTCCAGCACCTACGACCGAGGAGCATCAAACGCTCTGCCGTACAAACGACGACAGTGAGACGACAGGGAAATGACACGGCAGTGAATCGATAGTGGAGTCAAGGTCTGCTATCCGAATGAAGCCTCCTTCTCCCGCCATCCCAAATAGTGTACTTGTACTAAACCTTCATCGCGATTCTTCGCTCCGCCAACCCCTTGCTCGTCGGCTTTGCCTCTGTGCCTCCCGCCCTTGGCCAGTTTCCGACTCCGAGTGGTGGGACGGTGCCTTCTCCGTCGTCGACATTTCTTTCGACGTCAAGTTCACCAACAAACCCGCCCCTAACACAGCCTCCGTGCGCTATCTTGAGATGGTGACCACGAGCGACGGGCGCAGCCTAGGACTGCCGGACCCGCGCTCCGATTACCCCTTTAACTTCACCGTTGTGCAGCACGAACACGCGATTGGGCACGTCGACGACGACTGCAAGTTCACTTTCTGGGGTCAGTACGGTGACAACAAGGAGCAGACCGACGTGGACGTGGCTGTAGCAAATATGATGTCTTGCATGGGCGGGGGGCCGTGCGGAACCGCTCCCGCCTGAAAGATAAATCCGCCGTGGATGCACCCACTTCGTAGAACACGGTGTCCGCCAGCGAACCGCTCACCAGATCAGAAAATGCTTCGAAAGTGAAGTGCAGCTACCTGTGGCAGCATCGGGAGGAAGGCTACGAGAGGCCGGCCAGCGCACGGGAACAGTACGGAGGATGGTGTCGTCATGAGATGATATCAAGAAAGGGTAGCCAATCTCACTCCCGCTGAGGTTCGAGCTTGGTTGGGACTGAATCATTTTTGCCTGTGCTGTTGTTTTGTGTTGTCAGTTGACGATCGATGCCTTGCGTGGCGCTTTCGCTCGCGATGGTACCTACGGTTGATCAAGGCTCGTGGATGAGGGAAATCTGCGTGATACTTTGGCACCCCGAAGGCACACACATTGTTCGTTAAGGAGGACACGACAAGTGTGGGACAAAAGCAGCACCCCGACGCCGGCATCGGAAAGGGTCGCCACTCCAAATATCCAAGCCTAAGTTTTTGTTAATGTAATAATGAGGTACGTGTGTGACTTGGGTGGTAGCTTCGACTGCTCTAACTGGCGAATTCATTAATGACGAGACATCTTGTAACGGGATGGCGGAATGAAAAACACGAAGGAACATGATTTTGCATCAGTGCGCTGGTTCCTCACCGGAAGGACGAATACATGGGTGACTTTTTGTTTTGCTTTGTAATATCGATGGGAAACGATATGCTTATTATGTGTATTTGTGCGTCGTAGTAGGTTGCGTACAGAGATGCGTCGTAGATACATAGATGCCTCGGGTTCGTTCAGTGGGTGAGTGAGGGAACCGGAAACAAGAGCTGAAAGCGCCGATAAGGCCTTCAGAATGTATGGATAAATGTGCGTATTTGTTATTGAGATACATTTCAATCTAGTGCAAGTTATGGACTATCATACACTGTACACAGACTCACGATACTGATCGTAAGGAGAACGTAAGGAGCGATTTCCATCAGCGAATCAACCTAGTGTTTCGAAAAGAACTAGCTACAGACCTGGTTTTTTGTAGCATGTTGGACCCGTCTTTCACTGCGGTGAAAAAGGCTACCTGGGTAGCTGAAAGGTTCTTGTAATATCTCAGATTCAAACCCGTCCCTATCCTTGCCGAGGGCCTTCAATGGTAGTGCATGTCCTTGTGGTGCAACTGACGCGGACGTCTCCCCTCTATGGGTTGTTGTTTGGCTATTACCCAAAAAGGGTTGTTTTCTTCACACATCACAAACCGTTTGGGTCTCTGCCATGTACCTCCTAACATCCGTGCTCTAAGTTAACTGACGCGGGGACGACTTCCTCCGTGGTAACAGGCCAACTACCGAAAAAGGCTAGAATACACATTTCCATGCTCCGAAAAATCAGACGAACGCGTATCATTGGATAGTCGGAAAAATCCCTACTCAAACAGGCTTGAGATTTGACGCGATAATAGCAAAAGACGGAAGGCAAACGACTTTGGATCATGTTGTGCGCGCTAAGGCTAGCTCCGTGGCCCGCGGATTGCCGCGGCTTGAGGGTATGACATCCATCGTCTTCGTGAAGCCTCCCCCCCTTGTCCTCCCATTTCGAGGTCCGCTGTTGGGAGGGATGAAGTTTTCCTCCTTCATAGTCTATAAATGAAGGCACAATTCGACAGAAGAGCAGTCGAGGTTCATCTGACACAAACAACAATCAATCGAGAATCTCATCTGCCGTGACCTGAAAAGGTTCTCGGTGGAACCCACTCGGGGGCTTGCCTTTTGTCAAAGTCCGTACGTCGTGTCAGACAAATGTCACGAGCGCGTGGGCAGCTCACGGCCGACTGGTGAAGAGATCATAACCAGAACACCGATGGCAAGAGGTGTGCCTGGTTTGTGGGAGGGTGGGAACACTTCATGTTCACGGTAATCGTTCAATCACTGCTCAACAGACTACGGTATACCTTGCACCACCCGTACCGGTCCGACTGACGCCGACGCCTTCCGGTCACTTACTTCTCGACAGGATCTACCCGCATACTCATGGTAGCGTTGAAACCCCCCAATCTCCGGCTACATGTCCCCCCATCACCCGTGGACCCTTATTCTCCTAATCGGGACGTATTTTGTTGCTACTTGCCCCTGCCAGACATGTAGGAGGTGTATCTCAATGTACGTACAAAAGCATCCCATACCAATCCCTTCCGAGAGAAGAACGTGAACAAGATAGTTTGAGGCAGACCTTTGCCCAAAGAATAGCATATTGATTACTCTAGCGCAATATTTCTTGCTACGTTTCCCGCCGAATTTCGCGCAGACTCCTCCGACGAGACAGACTGACGTACTACTACCGTAGATGTATGGACACCCACCTTTGGCAATTATCCACCAAGCATCTTTCTGTCGGATCCTCAAGAACGAACGATGATTTACGCGAAAAAATCCGATGGTGCTATCTATGTAAAGCAAATGTAAAGAGTGCGGTCCGACCTATCTATCTATGTAGACGCGTGCCGAAAAAAACTATGAGTAATCAACCGAGAGAATTTCCCACTAAGCACTCGGGAAGAACGCGAGATCCTTGACTAAAAAGAAGAAAGACAACTGGAGACGAGAGTGGATTACTTCCAGTACAACAGCAGCACGAAAAGAGGAATCCTCCAACTACTAAAAAATCTATCCTGTAGAAATAAACCATGCACGTACTGTTCTCAATACCGCCGCAAATCTCCCTGGGTGGTGTATCGCCGACGAGGGCAAGCCTGATCCCCGATCACCCGTGCCTGGCAGCCTCTTAGTCGCCCCCCCCCTGTGGATTGATAACCTCTCTATTCAAGCCCAGCAGCTGAGTTCGACAACGGGAGGGGAGGGGCACCGACACAAAACCCCTCCACCACAATAAGTACTCACGCGCGCGCGCCCGCACACGCACGCACAGCAGAGCCGACGTGGCACACCAAATGTCAAAAAAACGAATTTGAAAGCACTTGTGTAAACCATTCAGGGCAATGCTGTCTAGCACTGGAGGAGCGACAACGCAAAAGCAGGAATGCTACTACAGTACGCGGTAGTGTCGACCGGTCTCCTCTCCACATGCTACTTGGGGCTTTCCGATGCTGGCCCCTCCCTCCCTGTCGCCCATCCTAACCCTTACCCTGCCCCTGGTGCTTCCTGCCGGGGGCTGGGTCCCAATGACTAGCTAGAGGAAGTTTTCGCGCCATGATTGTATCCCGCTAGCCAGACTCGAGATAGTTTCACTGGCCAGCCGGCCAATGCTTCGTCGATGCGACTTCAACACTCAAACCAATTCCTTCAACGTTCGACCCCCATGACTCTTGAGATATGGTGTGTCGTGATAGATAGAAGTACCCCAAGACTAAGGCTCCGAGGGCTTCTCAAAAAAACTAAGCATCATTCTGCCCAACTTCTAACAATGAAAGAATATGTTTCGAATCCGAGCTATTGCCACGATGTACAAGCCACAACGACCTTCACGCTATGTCCCTGTGCCAACGAGCGCACAAGCGGGTTCTTCCAGCTTCATCAAACATTAGACGACCGAAAAAAAAAAGAAAAACAATTCAACTCAAGTAGGCCTACGAGACGACAACCGAACTTTGCCCCTCCGGGGGGCTGCGCTTCCGAAGGGGCGTTCACGCAAACCCTACTTGGTTGACACGTCATCTTGGTACTGGACAGAGATAGAAAAAAAGAAAGAAGACAGAGAACACCTGGTCGGAATGGGTAACCGAGAGATGTAGCTCGCCGTTTGCTGCAACCACACCAGCCATCACCATCGTGAACCCTGAAAGGGATCGGCCAGGCGAAAATTCCAGAAGTCAAAGACATCACAAGACACCAACCAAAAAGGACACGCCCCAAGCTGGGCGATGCCTTCAATTTACAATCGTACGGAGGAAGCCCCAGCCACTGGAGCGCCGCCTGCTTCCATGTCTACACGATCGACACCACAAACCTTGCCGAGATGAGATGATTCTCCCAAAAATGACGAGCATTCTACGAAAGGACGAGCTTCACACGCAATATCCGCAATGGCAAGTCGTAAAACGAGGAATCATAATGACGCAACATATCTATTTTTACACCGTCCAACCGCGAAAAAAAACATGACGCGAACCCTGCCCTGAGCACTCACGATAACCCGCTCAACTCATCATGTATATTGTCGAAAGCGATATGTTCCACGGTGAGCACGTTACGGTAAACCCATGGTTGACGTTTGAGCATCAGAGGCGAGATATCCCACAACGAACCCACACTTATTCCTGCAAGTGTTTTCGTGCCGCAGTCAATTCTAAGGAACCGAAGGTCAACTTTACTGCTTGTAAGCATTTCTACACAACACCGAAAAAAACAATTCCAACAGGTTATGCTTCATCTTCCCGTGTTTTCAACAAAATGGTCCCAGAGCTCCAAGATCGAATTCAACATTCAAATGCAACGGTAGTAGCTGCCTTGCTCCGCAAATGATTTCCTCGCTCACATACCTCGCAATCGCAGCGGGGGTAATAATCGGGCCACGCCCTAACACTGGCCCAGTCGAATGTAGTAGGCCACACACAACCGGTAAGCAAGAGGTAGAGCGCACCTGAAAAGCCACAAGAACTTGAAACACCCAAATTCCCACAGAGAGAGCAACAGAGCAGGCCAGAGAAAAAATCAACTTAAAATATCAATCCCCGCCGACAGAACACAGCACGATATCAAAGAACAAGCGGAGTTCGTGACCACGAAACACCAAAAATCGAAATAGTACGCAAAGTCGGACGGAGAGCAAAAGAGAACAGACCAGCACCTATATGAACCCAACAAAACAAAGTGCACTAGAATGACGAAACCCTGCAACAGAAACAACGCCACGTCACAGAACACGAGGTAGAGGGCAACAGAAACACTCGGCAAGTCAAGGCGCAAGGACAGCAAAACAGAACGAACAGAACACAACAAGATAACCAAAAATGACGAATCTATCTATGCAGACAGAAACAACCGGATATAAAAGAAAACATCTTGCACACGAGCAAACCAATAGACAGGCGTCCCCTTTTGATTAATTAAAACACAACCCCACAATGTCACAGAACAAAACAAACTCGACTACTCCATTGCAAAACTCCAAGCATTCGACAAGCGGCGGGGTACAGCCAAGCTCCCTTCTACCAGACTCTCTTCAAACCAAATCGCCCGCATGTCTCTTCGTGGCTGATCCCTCTGAGCGGCGCGCATGTAGCCACTACCTTACGTCACCTGCGATGACACTGGCACCACGGATGACACTTCCACGGGGACGATTCTGATGTTGTGGTTGTTCATCATGGTTCCGCTGGTGGTTGTGGTGCCATCCGCTGTCACCGCTGTCTCCAAGTCCGACGGCCCTTCATTCGAGGAAGAGGACCACGAGCAGAGCTCAAAGGAGCACGCCTTCCAGCAGCTAGAAAAACCCAGAGGCAGGGCAATCTGAAAATAGGAAGGACGGTTCCACACAAAGAGGTTGAAATAGAAGGTCAGGGAGTACAAACGTGGTGACACCTTACTTCTGGTGGCGGGCTCAGACGGAAGCATGGCGGTACAGGAAAACCGGCGTAAATAATGACAACGGTTTATGGGATGGCGGGGGAGTTGGTCTTGCCTGAGACAAAACACTCTGCTCTTTCAGCAAACGCACTCATCAGGCAGAGGGGCGTCGCGTCGGGTGTGGGAGTTGGACAGCAGTGTTGGTTTGCTTGTGTATCTCCTACCGCCGTAGAGATGAAAGAAAAAGTTCCATCTGCATTTTCACGGAAAATCCCGGGCCGACAAATCACCACTCGTCCTATACGCTAACAAGAGACAGCTGCAACAAAGCTGCCTGTTTCATAGCCGATGCTTGATGGTATGGTAGATGCCCGAAGAACTTGTTCGTCCAATCAAAACACCCCATGAGTGGGTAGCTCGTGATCGTGATGATCATCATGACCACAGTGATCGGGTCGTGACTGAGTCATGAACCGATGTTGACTGGGGCATGACTCAATGATGACCCGATCATGACTGGGGGCATGACTCAGTTGTGACCCGATCATGACTGAGCTATTGTCAAAACCTCAGCAAGGTCAAAGCCCCCAAGTAGCATAGAACCAAGGGCCCAACCTCCCCCGGACGTTGAGGAAGCCGTCCGTTTTCAGCTTCTCAAGTAGACGAGTTGATTTCCCAAGTCACCCTCAATCGGGCATATGCCTGTCCGCCTCACCTCCGTCAAGCGGAGGATCATCACCGCGTTGGTCATCAGGCTAACGTCAACAACTTGAGCGCTCTGGGGCGAGAGGACGAGGTAAACGAAACACATGGTACCAGTAAGGGCAAAATAGGTGGTAGACAGCAGGTAGTGGTGATCGAACGAACGAGGACGTCGTTCCAGTCTGCGGTGTACCTTCTAGCATCCGTATCGGTTACAACTGACGCGGACGCCTTCCGTGGTTACAGTCAGGTTACCTACCCAAAGGGTTACAGTGTCAAGTAAACATTTCGTACTGTGAGTGGTTTGGAAGTAGCGCCGAAGCAAGCAGCCTTGCACGTATCACCTCATGCCTGAGAAGCTCCTTACAGTATGTGGCGCCGGTGCGATATTTCTTTGTAATATATCGTCCGCGGCGTTTTTTTGCCTTGCCTCGTACTAGCCCAAAGAGTGACGATGAAGCTGTGTGCGACTCTGGTGACACGAGCGAGTTTCCCCGTGCTTCTTGCCCATTATTTTGTCTACTCTACCGCAGCTCTCACTGAACTGAATACAATACTCTACAGCAATAATGGTGATACTGGGAAAACGTTGTACAATTGCGTTATTGCGCAGCTCCAAAGTCATCATGTCTCGATAGTCAACGTTCCGTGAAAAAAGGAGTTGGGGTATCACGTGATGAACTGATTGAGACAATTTTTCCGCAAATAATACCATCAACCATTCGCGTTGACCGCATCATGACTGTCGTTTGCGCGGGAAAACAATTCCAGTAGAGGCCACGGTATATAAGAGAAGGTTGGCACAAGCAAAAACCACTCTCTTGAATGTGATTTTCTCTTGACCCGCTGCCTGTGTAGTAGAAGTATGTGGTACATGTATTTCTCATGATCGGGACAAGTCAAAACACCCATTTCAATTCGATTTTCCTAAACACAATCTCGCGTAAACCATAGCCGCTACTGCTGTAATGGTATTTTGCCCATCAGAAAAACCTGTTGTGTGTGTTTAAACGCTCCGAAAAAAACACGCAACAACGCAGGAAATCCCGTACCGTACCATACATACACACATACCGTGGTATCGTTGGGGTGCTGGCGCAGGAGGGCGATGACCGTGACAATGGTGGTAATGATGTAGGACACAACCACGGCTGCCGTGCACGATACGTTTCTGACAACCACGCTGCGGTAAACCGCCCCTCCGGACTGGACGCCCTCGAGACGAACCATGAGGGGCCTCACGAACAGGATCAGCAGCAGCACGTACTGATGGCGACGGAAAAGTAAAAACCGAAAGACGTGTCGGCATCGGATCAGATCGCATGCCATTCCACTCGCACAAAAGCCAACCCTTCCTCTAACCGCAACCACTCCGGCAAGGGAAAACGGGCGAGGGGCAGGGAAAGAAGGCCGCATTGCTGTTCACCTGAAAAACCTCGAAGTATTTGAATATTTTTTTGCATGGCCTAGGTGTTGTTTTCGATCGACCCCTCACCTGGACCAACAGCATCGCGTTGGTGACGGCATACCCAAATGCGTTGTCGCTAGCCTCGCGCTCGTAGTTCACGTCTTCGTCCCTATTGAAACTGTTCTCGCAAAAGGTGCCCTGCGCATGAGTCAAGAGGCCAACCACACGACGAGGACCGGACGATGAACAATCCAAACACATGAGGAGGTGGGTATCCCACACTTTCTACAGTTTTCCCAGACGACCCATGGGACTCCCATGGGTTGCCCATGGGCTTGCCCATGGGTAGCCTGTGGGCATCCCATGGGCGGCCCGTGAGCAACCCATGGAAGCCCATTGGCGGCTAATGAGAGCCCATGAACCGAACCAGTATACTCCTAAACAATAGATTAGCTGCATTGGAACGGGCACTGTAACGGCTAATAACCCTAACCCTATCCCTAACCCCAAGCCCACACGATACGTGCTAAGTTGGCGCTGGTGGCTAAGTTTTAGGTTGATGTGAATGTGGCTAAGTTCTAGGTCGATATGCCGGTGGCGAAGTTCTAGGTTGGAGTGCTCAAGGTGGGCACTTCATGGCTGCCCATGGGTGTCCCACGGGCGGCTTATCAACACTGTCAGTAGTGTGGGAGATTGTAGGAGGTTCCTGCCACCACATGATGGGCGTACCACAACTAGGGTGTTCTAGCGTATACATGTACTCTGTTAACGTCTGCCCCTGGCTTCTTCGAGGAATCGACGATCAAATCTCTGCACCAGAGCCAACCCTGTGGCTTGACAGGCACATGACTACCATGACAAAAAAGCACGTCAGTCTAGATAGCATACCTGGTAGATATTTGCTAAGTACTACCCGTACCATGCGCTTGATGTGATACCACTCTTCTACCCACCTCTTCGTTAGTACCACCGGGGTAAGTGGCGCTCACGAAGATCGACGCCAAAGGCCTGCTCCGCAAGAAGATTGGATTACACCGCACACCGCAAGGACAACAATTGAGGGGACAAAATCGATCACAGCACGATCATCACTAAGCTCGCGTTGCATTATTGGGAAATCATATGGGACTTCCCATGAGACGTCCCACATGAACTCCCAATGGTATCAAGCCCAAATTTCTGCCGCAGTGAGAGAACATCAGCAGTAGTACACGTTCACCGTTGCCACACCATACCCCACGACGAGAAATTCCTGCCAGGCAAACCTAACCCTAACCCTAGCCCGAAGGGTCGGAACCTAAGGCTTGGAACACGACAAAACGGGTCACAAGGAGGATCTCTCTGTGCGTGCGTATTTCTCTCTCTCTCTCTCCTCTCTCTCTCTCACAGATAAATCCACGCGAACGCCCTGCATATCCAGATCACGCCCTTCTCCCAGCAGGAGAGCTTTCTCATGCCGTTGGTCACATCGACCTTGAAGAGGAGAAACGTCAGAAGACTCGCCTGACAACGGAGTATGGAGTAAGGAGAGGGGTGCAAAGACACACCAAGAGGAAAACATTAACCGCGACGAAACTACGGTATAAAAAAAAACGCTTGTTTACGTAGTTGAACCGTACCATGGTATGGAGCAACCACGAGGTAGGTAGGTTTCAGGCTACGAGCAATAGTTGTTTGAGATAGCAGTTTATCAACAGGGAATCTGGGCCACTTATACATGGTTCAGATTCGTTCTGGCTTGACTCTCTGGATATCGCGATCTGAGTGAAGTGAATCACCATCACCACGAAATGTGACGAATACAGCACTATTGTACTGCACGCATCAGCAGGGGACAAGACATGTTATTCCCCCTTGCGGGAAAGCAGAACGGTGCCCGCTTTACCGTGCGAGCGACACCAGTCCTCAACCAACCAATCAACCACAGGTGTGGCGGTCCCCGAACAAATCAGTGTTGACGTGGAAGTCGCCCTACAACAAAGCGTGTGAAATTGGCATTGTGCGGGAACCTCCAATACTACCAGATACAACGGAGTAGCTGTTTCTCACATCGAACAAGATGGCGAATGCGGTCGAAATCTTGTGAGTTGCATTGCAGTTCGACGCCGTCACCGGGAGAGCGTACTTGAGGACAGTGGAAGCGATGGCGATGAGCGCCACGATGTGCTCCACAACTAGCGCGACGTGCAGGGACCTGGATGCATTTTGAACCCCACGAGCGACCAGGGGGGGGAGGGAATCAAAAGGGGGAAGGGCAGCCATGCTTTGCTTGGCATCATCAGCTTTACGGTTGGCATCATCAGCCGCACGGTTGGCATGATCAGCCATACGGTTGGCATCATCAGCCATACGGTTGGCATGATCAGCCACAGGTTGGCATGATCAACGTACCAAGAGTAGGCCGTTACGTTAAAGGTGTGATATTCTGTGGGGGGTACACTATCTTCAGCCACCCCAATGCTTGCGCTAAGATAGTTAGTTATTGGGCTCAAGTCTTACTCAGTGCTTCCTGGTTACACACCGAAACGAGTCGACCCTCAAACGAATAACTCTCACGACTGTGTCTAGACTACGCCAAGGTCGAGTTCGAATCAGGTTTTCTCTCTGCAAAACATGAGCCGGTCGCCCCGGTTGTCTAGTGGTATCATCCTCGTAAGCCGCTAGTCGCAAAGGTCGTGAGTTCGAATCCCCATGGGGCGAAAAACATAACTACAAAATTTGCGGGTGAAAGCGAAATAAAGTTGGGAAAGCTCTCGTGAGTACAAATCTTCGGCGTAAGCACCGTTGACGAGGGAAAGGGACGGCTGGACCCTTCTCACGATACAAGTGAAATTCAGCACGCACCGCAGGAGCAAGGTGGGGCATGAAAATAAAGAGAAAGAAAAAAGCACCCCTCTTCTGAGACCCTGGATGGTTCTAGTTGCACGAAAGAAGACACTGAAAAAAGTGTACTCTACATACATACACGAAGGGTGTAAACGTCTCACCACGAAAAATGGGGAGACTGTCGCCACAATAAGTGGGATACAAACAACAACAAAACCTGAATGCTGTGTTTATCACAAGTACGGTGGTCACACCTTCCACCTGACAGACTCATCGCTCGTCGCGGACGACAAGTCACATATCTACATCCGTACCATTTGCATCAGTGCATCCCAGTTTCGCATGACATAATGCGTGTGAGCGATACAGGTTCAGTTTGGTGGAACTACTACAGGTCTTGCCGATTCCCCATGTTAGTTATGCTGGCGACACCACCAGGCGAGCAATGCCTTTATTCCCCCCCTCCTAACCCTACCCCCCCCCCCCCCCCCGGTGTTTGCCATCGGGGTTGGGTTTTCGTCGCTTGGCAACGACGTTGTAAAACAAGCCAATTCACTTCGTGAACTCGGCAACCAGGTTACCGTCATTTTTACCTCTTTTTTTTGGCGGTAACCATAACGGTGGTCGAGTAGATCATGTTGTGCGGGGTGGAGAACCCTCACTCCGCGCAAGGGGGATGATCGCACCACGTTGTGTTTCATTGGTCAAGCACCCTCGAGGCAGTCACACAGCGCTTAAAACTGTCTCAGGAAGTGAAAGGGCCAGAAAATTAATTTAAGTCATACGCAGCTGTCATCCGCATGCAAGGAAGTAAGCACAAGATGCCGAACACCCCTAGCAGGATGCAGCGCACCCTTCATGCGACTCGCCGAATACCTCACGGCGCTTCGCGCTTGGTGATGTGAGAGCCTGGTCCGGTGAGAACGCGGCGTGCGTCGTCCCGGCTTTGTAGGGATGCGAGTTCAACGTTCAAACGACTACGGCATGCACGACTATGAGTACACCCCCTGTTCGTGACCCCTTTTGCTTGTTCTTCTGACAGAAACAGAAAAGGTTAAATCATCAAGCACCTAGCCTTGCATTCTGAGCAAAAGGTATGCTAAAATGCAATGTGCAAGCATGCGGTGGCACCGCCGCCGCCTGCCAATGTCTCCGGAAATCGGTACCACAGCAGTACCAAAGCAAGAGGCAGAGAGATGGCACACCCCCTAGTGCGAAGGTGTACCGATTCAGGTAAAAGTCAATCGACGGATACCCTGCGAATCGGGTCCTCCTTAACACTCTCCACCCACAGAATTTACCCTCAACTGGGAACCTCTTGTGGCCAGGATGGGTAATTCGATGGAAGAGTCACAAGGTTCTTTGTAGGATCAACTCCAAGAGGTGTTCTCAGGACTGACACACATTGTGTCCATGGGAAAATATCCAAGTCAGGAGAAAAAGTGTGCACCCAAGGAGATTCGAACCAGCATCCAGCTGACGCCATATGCGAAGGTGTACCGATCAATCGACGGATATCCTGCGAATCGGGTCCTCCTTAACACTAGCCCGATTTCAAGATCGATTTCTCCACAACCAACCCTGTAACAACACCAAAAATGGTGGGAAAAAAATTAACATGTCGAGGGCGTTTCGTCGAAGTATGGGACTCCTTCCGTGCCCACTTGGTTGTGGAGAAATCGAGCCTTGACATTCGATCTACTGTAAGAGGGGGGTGCCACCTCTCAACTTCCTACCGTAGAAAGCAATGACGGCACGCCAGGAAGTAGAAAGAAAACGGGGCAACATGCCTGACTTTCGGAGAGCCCACGCTGGCGCTGGCGCTCCGTCCCCGCTGTGTCAGGACGGGGGGGCGGCTTGGGGCTGATCGCCGCCCGTGGGAGGTCGACGACCGCTGCGAACCGAGCAACCCGCTGCTGTTAGCGGCCCGGGCGGCCCTGCAGACGACACTCTTGTGTCCGTGGATGCCTCTGATGGCGTCGACGACGAAGAAGGTCTTGGCGATTATCACGGCCAGGTTGACGGGCAGGATCACCTTCGCCATCGTGACGCCGCTGCTGGAGGGGAGACAGAGGGAGACCGAGGGAGGGAGGGAGGGAGGGAGGGAGATGTAGACAGAGAGTCAGAGAGAGAAGGAGGCAGAAAGACCGAGCGACACAGAGAGACACAGAGAGAGCAGACAACGGGAGAGACAGACAGACAGAGAGAAAGGAAGGGAGAAAGGAACCGGTGAGAAACCCAAGGACTGACGACACGCATGCGTGCAGCGGCTCAGCGCCATCACATGTTGTGTGCATGAATCCGTTTTCATCTCCACAAACGTGCGGCCTCCAACGGCTGCCGAACAGGTGTATTGTCAAATAACAACGAACGGCAAGAATGCCCTGTTGGCATCACCGTGGCGGGTACTCCCCGCGTGGGAACACACGCCCCCCCCTCCCCGACTCTCCGCCTTAGGCAATAAGCATACAATGTACCACGAGGTCACTCCGGTCCCACACAGCTTGCTGCCCAACGACGGAATCGTGGCTGCAGCAGTCTAATAAAGAGACCCTGTGCTCATTGGACCGGACAATATGAGTAGAGAGAAGCAACTTGATGCTTTACACTAGTTTCCATCCTCTCGCGTCTCACACTCGCAAGAGGCTTGCAAGAGATTATTCCCACGGTCATCAAGGTCAACGTGCACATTACACTCGCGAAAACGAGAACGTGTTTTCCTCTCGATTCGCACAGGCCGACGCGCAAGAACGCCAGCACCATCGGTGGATGCCCCACGAGGATTGATTGCAGCGTGTAGGACTCCATTCCGTAGGCGTCAAATTTATCGACGAGAACCTCCATCCCACATACACGCTTGGTCCATTGACGCTTGGTCCATTGACCTCTGTTGATTTACATTACATTACTTTCCAGTGGGCATCAACCATGAAGAAAAACTGCTGTCACCGGTATGCTCACGGCAACGTTATCATCCCGTAGCTTGCCGGGTTGGAGTTCGCTTCTCTCTCCGGAGTAAAAAAACACGGTTTGTGTGTAGAGGCTTTGCCAATTGGGGGTGGGTTGCGATTATGCGGAGGAGTATGTGAATTTTTCGACTACTGTCACGGTCGACGAGGACAGGGACGGGACCGCTGACCCGTTCCAAGGCAATCACCTCCAAGCAGGACTCAAACGTCCGGTCGCCCCGGTGGTCTATTTGTTATCTTCGAAACCTTCTAGAGGTCAGGTCAGTGGTTCGAATCCCGGCGAAAGCGAGCTAAACTTGCAAAGTGAGTTTTTCTCTCGCTTCCGCTCCTGGCCTAGTGGACAGCGCTAGTTCGTTCGTGTGTACGCCGAGGGAAGAGAGTGCTGAACTCTTCTCGCAATCAAAATCGAAGGCAAAGTACCGCAGGGAGGGGAGGGTACAGAGGGGCTCTTCTGTGTGACCACAGGTTGGCGCAAGCGGCACTGGTGCTGTGAGCGCTGATTTCAAGTGGAGACAAAAAAAAAATGGATGAGAAGGTCGGGCGACTGCACAAGATCAGAAATTTCCTTCCTTGCTTGTGACTGCGGCCGATCCGTCAATCATTTCCGGTAAGTGCCAGGAACCAAAGAGCAGGGATACTAATGTACAGTGTAGACGAACGCATAAATGTTACAAATGCACACATTACTCACGAGAAGGACGGCATCGTCGACTGCCATGTCCAAGTGCAGGCGCCGGAAGAAAGAATAGGCTCCTACGGGACGCAGACAGGCAGGCAAGCTACGCAAAAAACAGAACATGAAGAGATGCCATGCAGGGTTCTGAATATCCTGCTCATGACAGTACTACCTACTTCCGGACACCGAGAGGTGGAGTGCAGCACACATTCCAGAGCTCCAACAAGGGGAAGGAGGAGTACCGCCTCGAGTTCATCCTCATGCGCCAGACAGACCGGCGTTTCGTGCGCAATGTCTCCGTCAAACGTGTCGACTTCAAAGACTCTGACCACAACCTCGTGCTTACGACTGTCCGCCTCCCCCTCCGTGTCGCACCCAACCGACGAGTGCAGGGGAACAGCTGAAGCAGCCGCATCCGTATCGACCTCGAGCGGTTAAGGAAGGACAAACACCTACGGGTCGCCTTTCTAACAGGGCCTCCAGCCGCCCTCCGCCCACGACGCTCAGGCGGCCAACGGGNAGGGGAACAGCTGAAGCAGCCGCATCCGTATCGACCTCGAGCGGTTAAGGAAGGACAAACACCTACGGGTCGCCTTTCTAACAGGGCCTCCAGCCGCCCTCCGCCCACGACGCTCAGGCGGCCAACGGGAGAGACCGCCGCCGAGCTGACGGCTACGGTGATGTCACCCGCTGCTGAGACCGCGCCGCTGGCGAGGTGCGCACTAGGGCAGAGAGGCTGGTACACGAGCGAAGCGCCGCACGAGATCTCCGAAGCGTCTAAAGACATTAAGGCGGCCCAGCAGCAACTGCGTGGGGCCTCAAGGAACAGAGCCTTCGAGGCGACCCTAAAGGCGATGCTCAAGGCGGCGCGGAAGAAGCGCAGCATCGCGAGCTGGAGAGCACTGGAAACGTTCTTCGAGGGCTACTTATGGCAGCTCGAGAAGCAGAGCCGCGAGGGGGATCAGGCGGGTTTCTACAGGCACCTCAAGATGATCGACGTCGAAGGTAAGAGGTCGTTCACCCCTCAGAACATCAAGGACGAGGACGGCAAGGTCCTTCGGGACCTCGTGTTTATTCGCCAACGGTGGGCACGGTGGTTCCACAAGCTTCTCAACACCAAGTCGCCGACCATCGACCTGCATGCGGCTGACAAGGTCAAGCGGTGGCCCACGTGCGTGCCACTCGACGACATCCCATCTCTACTTGAGGTTGAGGAAGCGGTACGGGAAATGGCCAACAGAAAGGCCATCGGGCCGGACGACCTACCGGCTGAGCTGATCAAGCGTTTCGTGGACGGAGATCAAGGACTCCTCCGCGAGTTCAACGCCACTGTCGTGGACGTGTGGCAGACGGGGAGCGCACCACAGCAGTGGAAGGATGCCACCATCAAAGTGCTGTTCAAGAAGGGGGACACGATGGAGTGTGGCAACTACCGGGGCATCTCTCTCGTCGCACACGCCGGCAA